GGGGATATGGAGAGGCCAGGGAGCAGGAGAAGGCACTTCTGAGCTTGTGGGGGAAGGGGGCTTCCTGGGTCTCTGAGAGTGTTGGGATTTCCGAGTCTGGAGCTATAGCTGGGCAGCTGTAGCTGCACCGGTAGGGAACAGGGACTCCCATGGGGATCACCCGTTCCTGGCCCCCAAGGGCTCCAAGGAGTGTGCAGCCCTGGCCACACCTCCCCCACTACAGCTGGTGTACTTGCAATGGCCACTCCAAATGGGCTGCCACTGCCATCAGCATGACTATTAACATGACCATTCACTCACTCAACAGCCATGTATTGAGCAACTATTATGTGCCAGCTCTTTGTTACTAAGAGTACAGTAGTAGAAACTCAGGCAAAGTCCATGCCCTAATGGAGCTTACATTCTAATATGCAAATAAATACACACTGACTGAGTCTCTCCTTGTATTTCCAGTTCCAAGTCCCCAAAGAGAAAAACTGATTGGTATAGCTAGTCACTACCATCCACTTGTGGCAGGTAGAACCTTTTCTAAAGGCTACCTCATTCAGTGTGGGTGTTGACTGCCTGTATGTCAGTGTTCCCCTCCAGTCCAGTCAGCTGTGATTGAGACTGCATGGCACATAACATGGTCTCTCATGTGGTCTCATGTGCTTTGCTCCCTCAGCAAAACACAGTAGGTTAGGAGACCCCCTCCACCGTGTCTTCCCTATCCAATGTGATTCTTATCCAAATATGGTAGGAACCAAACTTTCTCAGGGCTTTCTGAAGGCAAAAAGATAAAGCTGCACTAGCCAATACCAAGTAGAGTATTACTAATCTGAAAATCCAAAATCCAAAATGCTCCATTTCAAAACTTTTTGAACACTGATATACTATTCAAAGGAAATGCTCATTGGAGCACTTTGGATTTTAGATTTTTGGATTAGAGATTCTCAACCAGTAATGTTCCAAAATCCAAAATACTTCTGGTCCCAAGCATTTCAGATAAGGGATATTCAATGCATATGATAAAAATGAACCCTCCATCATGAACCACTTATTTACAAGAACTCAGAATTGGCCAAGTGGGGCGGCTCACACCTGTAATCCCAACACTTTGGGAAGCTGAGGTGGGCAGATTGCTTGAGGCCAGGAGTTTGAGACCAGCCTGGCCAACACAGCGAAAACTCATCTCTAATAAATATACAAAAATTATCTGGGCATGGTAGTGCATGCCTGTAATCCCGGCTTCTTAGGAGGCTGAGACACCAGAATCACTTGAACCCAGGAGATGGAGGTTGCAGCAAGCTAAAACTACGCCACCGCATTCCATCCTGGGTGACAGAGTGAGACTGTCAAAAGGAAGGAAGAAAGGAAGGAGGGATGGAGGGAGGGAGGAAGGGAAAATGGAAGGATGGAGAAGGGAAGGGAAGGGGAGGGGAAGAGGAAGGGGAAGGGAAAGGGAGGGAAAGAAAGGAAGAATTCAGAATTAATGAAACTCAGAATACACACCAAATTGAGTGTTAGATGCTTCTTCCAGAAAAATAGATTGCTTCTGGTTTTTAAGCCTGTAGACATTTGCTTTTGCTGGACTTCGCTTTTCTGCTGTTTCTGATGTTTCAAAATACCAACCTGCCCACAGCAGATTCTTACTCCAGTTGAGGCTGATTTAACACTAATCTCCCACGTGTTCCCTCCATCATGTTGTATTATTTATATTAGCTTTGGCACCTTCCTTGAGATTTTACTATTTGCTTTCTGTTGGAGCGTATTCCCCAACTAAAAGAGGAAGACAACTGGCACCTCTTTTAGGAAAAGTGGGGCAATCATTCTCAGATTTTTTCAGTCCCAAACCAGGTGGGTCCTGTACCTCACCCCCCACTAACTGCCGCTAAAGAAATAACACAGGTTTTTAACATCACCCTGGGGATTAGAGAAAAAAAGAAAAAATAACACGGATTTTGATGAGACACAAACAGTAGCCACAGAGGTAACTTGTTAACTGATTCTGAAAAAGAAAAGCCTTTAAAACTATTCATAAAACACAGTTAATTAAAACCAACAAACAGTACTACCATGTTCCCAACATTCAACCAGGAACTGGGGATCTAAAGATGAAAACACATGACTGGCTGGGCGCGGTGGCTCACACCTATAATCCCAGCACTTTGGGAGGCTGAGATGGGAGGATCATGTGAGCCCAGGAGTTAGAGACAAGCCTGGGAAGCAGAGTGAGACCTCATCTCTGCAAAAAATAAAATAGCCAGGTGTGGTAGCGCTTGCCTGTAGTCTTAGCTACTCAGGAGGCTGAGGCAGGATGATCATTTGAGCTCAGGAGGCGGAGGCTGCAGCAAGTTGTGATCATACCACTGCACTCCAGCCTGAGAGAGTGAGACCCACAGAAAGAAAGGGGGGGGTGAGGGGGGGGGGGAGAAAGAAAGAAAAAGAAAGAAAGAAAGGGAGGAAGGGAGGGTAGAAGGAAGGAAAGAAGGAGAAAAGAAAGAGAAAAGCAAGCAAGAAAGGAAGGAAGGAAGGGAGAAAGAAGAAAAGAAAAAAGAAAATCATATGATCCTTGCTCTCAATAAATGGACCATAAATAGTGGAAGACAGGGCTGTGATGATGATGAGGAGGAACTAAGTGTTCCAGGGACTCAAGGCAAGGAAAGAGTCACTCTGACATTAAGGATAAATAGCTAATATTTGAGATGGGCCTTAAAGGATTAGAATTTTTTCAAAGTTAGGATTTTTGTAAGTGGAAAATGTAAGGAAGGGCGTTCCAGAAGTAGGGACTAGCATAAATAAAATCAAGAAGGTAGGAAAGTAAATGACTTGTGTGGAGAATAGCAAGGAAACACTCATGAAGCTGAAGCATATAGTACAGCTCCCAGGAATGGCTGGACTTGCCCACGGACCACCAATGATCCACAGCCCGATTTGATGCTGTGGCTGGCATCAAACACACGGGAGACAACTGGTCCAAAAATTTTGACCACTGAACATGACAACAGCTTACGAAACTATCATGAAGATGGTTATAATTGCCAAGCAGAATGAGAACATTATAATTAGATCTTTTATTTATTCTCTTGAATTATATTTATTAATTTGTTGAATTAGCTGCTAGGCACTGTGGTAAATATCAAGAACACAGAGCCTACTCCACTGTAGCCCCTGTCCTTGAGGAGCCTAATAACTGGAGATCTCATTTATGTATTTATTAGGCTTTCTAAAAGCCTGCTATTCACTTATTGATAGCAAAGAAAACCATTTTTAAATTTTAAATAATCTTTTCTTATTACAAAAGCAGTTCATGAGCATCATAGTATATGGAACCAGTCCAAAACAAAACATCTCTGAACCACCCAGAGATCACCATTGTACCCCTTGGTTCATCTTCTCCTCCAACGTCTTCATATACATACATACATATTAATCTGTATTTTGAGGACATGTTTTGCATATTGTCTAAGATACATCCTGTCTTGTAATCAGCTTTTTAAAAGACAATAGGCTGGGCGCCGTGGCTCAAGCCTATAATCCCAGCACTTTGGGAGGTCGAGGCGGGTGGATCACGAGGTCAAGAGATTGAGACCATCCTGGTCAACAAGGTGAAACCCCGTCTCTACTAAAAATACAAAAATTAGCTGGGCATGGTGGTGCGCGCCTGTAGTCCCAGCTACTGAGGAGGCTGAAGCAGGAGACTTGCCTGAACCCAGGAGGTGGAGGTTGCGGTGAGCCGAGATGGCGCCATTGCACTCCAGCCTGGGTAACAAGAGCGAAACTCCGACTCAAAAAAAAAAGACAATAATTTCCACGTTTCTATATGAATACTTCTAATACTCAGCACGTATTCAAATTTCTCCAAATGAGCCAAAAATGTCCTTTACGCCTATTTTTCCAAGTTGGCCCTCAACTCAAGCCCTTGCACTGTGTCTCTTGGTTATGTTCTTCGCGTTCCTTTTAATCCGTCATAGACCCTTTCATAGGATTCTGACTCGATAAAGAGAACTGGCCAGCTGTCCCGAAGGAAGGCCCACCTCCTGTATTTGCCTGGTTCCCTGTGGTGTCATTTTACTTACTCCTCAATTCCCCTGACTTCCTGTAAATATCAAACTAAAGATGCCATAGAGGCAAGTTAACCATCTTGGGCTAGAATACCTCATGGGCGGCAGCATGTACTTTACATTGCTCACTTCGGAATCCACGTCATACCTGGTTGACGCACCGTTAGTCCAACTGACCACAAGACAACTGGGGGTTTCGGAGGGAGTACACGTCAGGGGCAAAAGCAGCAACGGAATCAGCCTGAATGCGACCTGGCTACCTGAAGGAGGTGGGACGGGGAACCGAACAGTAGCAGGTGGTGGAACGCCAGGGAAATCCAACCGTGCTTCCCTCGCTGGCATCGCTCTGTGACCGACCAATCCTTTAATCTTATTCTAACAACTAGGGAGAGAGAAAAAAAACCCAAACAAAAAAAAAGTTGGTAGGTGACTCTGAGACCGCTGTTTTATGAACGTTTCCTTGTATAAAATTTAGCTGAGCAGATGCGGTATGCAGTCCACAGAGGGCCACTGTTCCGCTCAGCTGTACACACTCTGGGGAAAGACCTATACTCCCGGAGAACAGAGTGCTGAGTTCGCCCCTGTTCATGAGCACGCCTTTCTTTACCTCTGGCCACCAGGGGGAGCTGCAACCAAGTAACTGTTCTTTCGAGTGAGCGGGAACGCGCCTGCATAAATCTGGTCCAATCCAGGGCCCCGTAGCAAGGCGCCAAAGCTGAGGGAAGCGCATTTCTGTTTTCTCGCGAGCACGACGAGGCGCTTCCTCGTCCTCTCCCGGCCCTCCCTCTCCGCCTGCCCGGCCGCGTGCGCTGGGGCCCCTCCCGGTGGCTCGCGGCAGGTGGCGCTGTCTGCGGCGTCGCAGCTGCCAGGGCTGCAGCGGAGACGATCTCCCGACTGGCTGTGCGGCCCGGCTCTCCGGCGGCAGCGAGTGCCACGTCCCAAGTGCTACGCGGAGGAGCAGAGCGGGCGGTGCGCAAGGGGCGGGAGCAGAGCGGAGCCCGGCTTGGCCACATCGATCGCCCGCCGCCATGGGCTCTTCGCAGAGCGTCGAGATCCCAGGCGGGGGCACCGAAGGCTACCACGTCCTGCGGGTAAGGGCCCCGACGGCAGCCCGGGAGCTGCGGGCTGGAGGCGGGGCCGGCGGCGGGGAGGCGGAGGCCCCCTTGGGCTTCTTCACCGGGCAGCCAGGCCAGACCTCGCGAAGTAGCGGCGGCCGCGGGCTCTGCTTTGGCAGAGGCTGGTGCCGGAGGCCGCTTACATCCCGCGTCCGCCGAGCGCCCTGGGCCTGGGGTCCGCGGCTGTGGGAGGACCGGCTGGAACGACTCGGCCGGGGGGCGGCCCTGGGAAGGGGGAACATGCTTGCTCTCCTTCCGCACGGCCTTCTTTCTCTTCCACCCCCTCGTTTTTAGCTTCCAAAGTTAGGAAGGGCGCGGGGGGCAACCTCTCCAAAGTGGTGACTGTGAAGGCAGCCTTTGCGCTTTCCTAGGAGAGGGATCCTGACCCGCAGTCCGGAGGCGGGGCCTGCGGCGGCAGGTGTTAAGTCACCTCGGCGCCGGCCAAGTGGCCGGAAAGGACAGCGGGGCAGGAGATGGAAAACGAAATGGGCTGGAAGTAGGTTTGACAGACTTAAACAGACTTGATTTTGACAAGAGTTTTCCTCTTCTGTGCCACTCCTGACCCTCCCAACTCTCCTCCTCCAAGATTTCCTGGAGTGGGAACTTCCGTTCTTTTCCGACTGCTGAGGGTGTGGGGCAGATTGAGGTTTAGGTCCCCAGTGGTAAAGAGGTAGTGCAGAGGAGTGTTTAAAAAAATCAGAGTAAATAAAGGAAAGCAATCCTAGCTTAGCTGCAAGTACACAGAGAATCATAGTATCTGAAAAGGCGTGCTAAGCCCCTACCTGTGAACGGCCTGGGCCTGCGTGGTACAAAGCAGGTGGTCTCTTCCTCATGGAACCCGGTGCCTTTAGAAGTAGCATTGATGGTTGTGTTCTGTGACACCTGTGTGAGTGTTAACATGATGAACTGTCAGCAGAGTGTCCCCAGCGTGTAGCGCCATTTAGGGGTGTAATAGAGTGTCACTCAATATTAGCTCCTCACAGGCAAGAACATTTTCTCTGAAAGTAAGAGAGTGCATTTCCTGGTGCTACCTTCATTTCCTGTCCTGGGTCCCATGTTTTACGTGAGTCAACATTCTTAAATTATCCAGCTGCTGGGTGATAAGGCTGAGACAGATCATCTTTCTGATCTTCAGGATTATCCTGTCTATTGCCTTTCCATTACACTAAAAATCCCTCCTCTAGCCATACTCTTTGTAGGAAAGGGTGATTTTTTATTTTCCCGAAAGGAAAAGGGAGCCTATAAATAAACCGTATTATCTTTCTATCCCCTTCAGCTAACCAAACCCCCAAGTGCCTAACTAAGAGAGGAAATGGAAGGAGAATTGTCAGCTCCCAGATGGGAGGTGAAAGCTGTGCTTTTCTTTCTATTATCTGGTCTGATTTTGAGTTTTCTACCCTGGAGTGTTACCCAGTATTATCAGCTGTTTCTCACAGTGGCTCATTGTGGTCATGAATCCTTGGGGATTCATGATATTTTTATAATACATGCACTCAGGGAAACTCAGTAAAACACATTAGTGTTAATAAGCAAAAAAAAAAAGTCTGGAGTGTTTGAAAGAAAGCCATACACATCAAAAGGATTCCAACTTAATGACTTCATTCCGACATAAAACAAGTTTGTATTTTCTTTATGTGAGTGCACTCAAGTAAATCAGGGTTCATACATATTCAGTAGTGCAGATGTGTTATTAATCTATAAATCTGATTTTTAGAAACACTAGGGACAACCTTAGTTACCAATCTGCATCTGGAGCATTAATGTTGCACATGACGAAATAATTCTTATTTAGTTAGACTTTTATTAAAGAGAGCTTTAAAATAGTAATGATCTAGTTTAGGAGAATTTGTGTCTGAGTTCCTAACTCCCTCTGCCTCTGATTCTGTAATTGGTTTTCTTATCTTTGTTTTTGGAGGGAAAAGTGCTATGTTAAATCTTAACATGTAAAAATGTCTTCTTTTCATTTGTTACTGCCTAAAGGGTCAGCGATATGTTTCATTGTTAGATTACTGAGCTTGTAAACCAGAGTAACTGGCAGGAAGTTTTTGAATAAAATCACCCATATTTGACAAGTTCTAGAATGATTTAATTAGAAGGTAGTTTTCTTGAATAACCAATTCCCTGGCCATATCCTTATTGTAGTAAAAACTTATATGACTGGCTGGCTTTTGAAATACCAATTATAATAACATCTATATCCACTGCTGTCTTATGATTTCACAAGTCCCTATAATTCAGATAGATTGAATTTTTCATATTTTTTATTATTTTTCAATATCCACCTAAAAATCTTTAGGGGACAGCCTTGAAATGGATTCAGAAGTTCTGTTATGAGCAATGTAGTTCCTTTTTATATGTTTTCTATTTATGTATGAGTGTATACTTTCATGATTTGGATTATATTTTGAACCCAACTTCATCTCCCCATTGCAGAGGTAACCACTGTGAACAGTTTCTTACATAGCCTTTCAGATATATTTTATGCTTATAAAAGAATCTCTTCCTGTAATCCTAGCACTTTGGGAGGCCGAGGCGGGTGGATCACGAGGTCAAGAGATCGAGACCATCCTGGTTAACATGGTGAAACCCCATCTCTACTAAATATACAAAAAATTAGCTGGGCATGGTGGTGCGTGCCTGTAATCCCAGCTACTCAGGAGGCTGAGGCAGGAGAATTGCCTGAACCCAGGAAGCGGAGGTTGCAGTGAGCCGAGATCATGCCATTGCACTCCAGCCTGGGTAACAAGAGTGAAACTCCGTCTCAAAAAAAAAAAAAAAAAAAAAATCTCTTCTCACACCCTTCTCTCTGTTTCTTTTTGTTACCTTGGAATCCTATGATCCGTGCTATTACACACCTCAGTCTTCTCAGCTGATGACCTATCTTGGCAGTGTTTCTGTAGCAGCAAGTGGAGATCGGCCTCATGCTTTTAGTTAGCTCATGGTAGTCTGTTGTACCATAGGTTGGTTAAGCAGTACCTCCTGGTGTTGAACATTTGGTTTTCTAGTCTTCTGTTGTTATAAGTACATATTTACAACTTTAAATTATACTTTTTGTTTTCACTTAAAATACATACTTTTCCCAGATTACTTATTGAATTTTAATGGTAGCTGCCTGTATAAATGTTGATTTTCATCTTAGTAAATAACTACATTGTTTTCTGATTGTCAGCATGTGTTCATTAGAGAATATTTGAATAAGGTTAAAAAAAAAAGTACAGCGAAGAATTTAAATTACCTGTAATCTCACCATCTAAAGGCAAATACTGTTGAAGTATTTTTCTTCATCTTTTTTTTTTTCCTGTGGGCCTAACATCGCCTCTTAACTATGTTTCACAAAGATTTTTAATGATATGACGTATTCAGGGACTATATGGCCAAAAGTTTTCATAAGAGGATAACAATACAACCAAGATATCCAACAGCTGAGGAATTATTAAACTAATCAGGGCCTAACCACAGACAGAATGCTATACATTCACTCAAAATTGTATTTCAAACACCCTGTGTATGTGCAGGTACATTTGAGCACTCAGGAAAATAAAGCTGAAAGGTAATAAACCAGGATGTCTGAAAAATTATTATTGGATGGTGACTTTTTTTCTTACTTAAATGTATTTTCTAAGATTTCTGAAGTGATCATTAAATACTTACATAGTCACCAAAAGTATAGTTACAAAAAGTTACTTTTAAAAAAGCAGTGGAAGATTTCAAAATTTGTGTAGAAGTCTTCTTCTAAAAATAACGTATTTCAGATTTTCCCTTGTACAGTGGGTCAGATTCTGTGCTCACCATGAAGGGTACTTTTATTTCGGTTCTCCAATCCTAATGTAAGGCAGGAAAAATGTTAGGGCTTCTCAGTCTTCAAAGTTATTGTAACTTACCTCCTACGTGTGAACTATGTTTAATATCAAATTTTTGCCTACATTTTCCATTAGTTATCAAGTGAACCCAACAAGACCATTTTCAAAATTAAATTTTTGTATGCCTGTTACAGGACCTGCTTCTACATTAAAATCTTCATATTCTGTTCCACACTTACAACTCTTTAAGATGGGGGCCATCTGAGGGCATTCTTTCTGGAGCGAGTATTCACACCAGTGTGGAGACATGGAAAATAGCATTTTCACTCTCATGCTTTCTTCTGGGGTGATGGATGTTTTGAAGGAAGGGTCATTGACATGAAGTGTATCACCAGTGTAATAACAGGTCTTTATCTTCGAAGCCATTTGCTGCTGCAGACTGGGCAGCATTTAGGTTTTTTCCTCAGAGAAGCAAGTGACTGCAAGTGGAATTACTTCTGTAGAAAATGCAATGCCTAGATTGTATCTACTATAATATGGAACTCTTCATTTTAAATGGTGCATAACAAATCTACATAAAACCCTGTTGTGATGGGATTTCAATTTAGTACTTATTTTGAAAAAATTAATTTCTAATATTCGATGGTCATTTTCTTTATTCTTCTAACACTGTCTTTCTCAAACTTTTGAAACTCATGTCCTCTTTTTCTTTTTCTTTTTTTTTTTTTTTTTTTTTTTGAGACAGAGTTTCACTCTTGTTGTCCAGGCTGGAGAGCAGTGGGGCCGTCTTGGCTTACTGCAACCTCCACCTACCAGGTTCAAGTGATTCTCCTGCCTCAGCCTCCCAAGTAGGTAGGATTACAGGCATGTGCCACTACGCCTGGCTAGTTTTGTATTTTTAGTAGAGATGGGGTTTCACCATTTTGACCAGACTGGTCTTGAACTCTTGACTTCAAGTGAGCCACCTCAGCTTCCCAAAGTACTGGGATTACAGATATGAGCCACCATGCCTGGCCTCATGCCCTAACACAGAAATCTCACTCTGACTCCCTTCTCACTCATTCTGGAAACAATGCGTAAAAAGAAAACAGTGGTTGTTTGGGATTGTTTTCTGAATATAAAGTTATAATTGGGAAACCACCTAAAGAGTCTGACCCTGCACCCAAAATTAATCTCTCCTTTTTTTTTTTTTTTTTTTTTTTTTTTTGAGATGGAGTCTCATTCTCACCCAGGCTAGAATGCAGTGGCACAATCTCGGCTCACTTCAACCTCTGCCTCCCAGGTTCAAGCAATTCTTCTGCCTCAGCCTTCCGAGTAGCTAGGATTACAGGTGCCTGCCACCATGCCCAGCTAGTTTTTGTACTTTTAGTAGTGACAGAGTTTTACCATATTGGTCAGCGTGGTTTCAAACTGCTGACCTCAGGTGATCCACCTACCTCGGCCTCCCAAAGTGCTGGAATTACAGGTGTGAGCTACAGCACCCAGCCCAAAATTGATCTTTTCTAATGAAAGGCCCAGAAGTTGTTTAATAAACATTCTTTGAAATTGCTTTCAAATGTAGGAATCAGGATATCTCAGTTTATTAAAGCCATGGAATATAATGTATAAACCTTGGGACACTTGTAGGAATTGTATCATCGAACATAAACTTTTCCTGATATTAATAGGCCTTGAACAAATTAGTAGTATCATGTTGTTTATATACACTTTGGTTTTTTTGAGACGGAGTCTTGCTCTATTACCCAGGCTGGACTGCAGTAGTGTGATCTTGGCCCACTGCAACCTCTGCCTCTCAAGTTCAAGTGATTCTCCTGCCTCAGCCTCCCAAGTACCTGGGATTACAGGCATGCACCACCACCCCCAACTAATTTTTGTATTTGTAGTAGAGACGGGATTTTACCATGTTAGCCAGGCTGGTCTAGAACTTCTGACCTCAAGTGAGCCTCCCATCTCAGCTTTCCAAAGTGTTGGGATGACAGGCATGAGCCACTGCACCCAGCACTCCCCACAACTCCCCAATCTCCTTTTTTTTTTTCTTTTTGAGACAGGGTCTCTCTCTAGGCTAGAGTGCAGTAGCACAATCTCCACCCACTGCAGCCTCCACCTCCTGGGCTCAAGTGATCCTCCCCCATCTCAGCCTTCTGAGTCACTAGCACTTCAGGCACACACCACCATACCCAGCTAATTCTTTGTATTTTGGGTGGAGATGGGGTTTTGCCATATTGCCCAGGCTGCTGTCAAACTCTTGAGTTCAAGCAATTCATCCACCTCAGCCTCACACAAAGTGCTGGGAGTACAGACATGAGTCACTGCACCCGGCCTCTGTAAGCTTTCATACTTACTTGATGAGGTATGTTTTAATGCCTGCACTAATAATCTTCAGGATTCTCACTGGGGGAGACTGGGGGAGATCTGCTCAGCATTGATTCTCCTGCCTTCTGAATCAGATACTAACAGGGCTTTTTAATAATTCCTCTGAAACTTTTATAAAAATTGAGCTTACAATAACCATTAACATCAGTGTGTTCATTTTGCTGACTTTAATGTTCTACTGAAAGGATTATATATATTGATTGATTCACTAATAAAGTATTAATGTAAACTAGGACATATTTATTTATAAAGTTTGGTATGTGCTTTAGAAACTGTGACTTTTGTTTTTTGAAACAAGATCTCTCTTAGTCGCCTAGCTGGAGTGTCGTGGTGTGGTCATAGCCCACTGCAGCCTTGAACTCCTGAGTTCAAGCAATCCCTTCATCTCAGCCTCCTGAGTAGCTTATAGGCACATGCTGCCACACCCAACCAATTTTTAAATTTTTTGTAGAAAGGTCTTTCTGTGTTGCCCAAGCTGGTCTTAAACTCCTGGGCTCAAGCAATCCTCTCATCTTGGCTTCCCAAAGTATTGGGATTAAAGGTGTGAGCCACCACACCTCATCCAAAGTAGTTACTCTGAGATACTGTATGTTTCCCTGTTGGCATTGCAAATAAATTTACTGTAGCATGAAGAGAATTATGCTGGGTTTTTTTTTTCTCTGTCTCTCTTTCTTTTTTTAAGCATCAATGAGAGATCATTCAAGCACATTGTCAGAAATAAGAACACTTGAGCCGGGCACAGTGTGCACCTGTAATCCCAGCTACTCCAATCAGGAGACTGAGGTGAGGTGGGGACCAAGAGTTTAAGACCACCCTGGGCAACATAATGAGATCCTGTCTCAATAAAAACAAAAATGTCACTTTTTTATAAAAGAGCCCAGGAGTTTGAGGTTGCAGCCAGCTCTGCTCACACCAGTGCACTCCAGCCTGGGTAATAGAGCAGCGTCTCTAAAATTAATTAATTGATTAATTTTTTTTTTTTTAATTGAAGTCTGGGTGTGGTGATTCATGCCTGTAATCCCAGCATTTTGGGAGGCTGAGACAGGTGGATCACCTGAGGTCGGGAGTTCAAGACCAGTCTGGCCAACGTGGTGAAACCCCGTTTCTATTAAAATACAAAAGTTAGTTGTGTGTGGCGGCACATGCTTGTAGTCCCAGCTACTTGGGAGGCTGAGGCAGGAGAATGGTTTGAACCCTGGAGGTGGAGGTTACAGTAAACTGAGATAGCGCCACTGCACTCCAGCCTGGGTGACTGAGTGACTCCATCTCAAAAAAAAAAAGCTTAAGAAACCTGGTCTTGCTCTGTTGCCCAGGCTGGAGTGCAGTGTCGCAATCCCAGCTCACTGCATCTTTGACTTCATGGGCTCAAGCAATCCTCCCTCCCTAGCCTCCCAAATAGTTGGTGGGACTACAGGTGCATGCCACCACAGCTGGCTGATTTTTTTTGAAGGAACAAGGTCTCGCCACATTACCCAGGCTGGTCTCAAACTCCTGGACTCAAGTGAGCCTCCTGCTTTAGTCTCCCAAAGTGCTGGAACTATAGCTGTGAGCCACATACTTGTCCTAATTAATTGATTAAACATTAAAATCCAGGCTTTGTAGCATGTGCCTGCAGTCCTAGGTACTCAGGAGGCTGAGGCGGGAGGAATATTTGAGCCCAGGTGTTCAAGAGTAGCCTTGGAAAATAGAGAGTGGAGGAGGAAGCACTAGGTACAGTGACTTTCACCTGTAATTAGAACACTTTGGGAGGCCAAGGCACGGGATTGCTTGAAACCAGGCGTTTGAGACCAGCCTGAGCAGCAAAGTGAGATCCTGTCTCTAAAAAAATAAAGCAGGAAGGAAAGAATCTTGTTGTCTTTGTGGACATGAGTACATTGAGAAACTGTCATAGTCAACTACCAGAGACCACCTTTGGGAACTGGATTCTAGTGCCAGCCCTATCACTTAATTCTAGTTCCTTGGGCAACCCTTTGAACTGCTTTGAAAAGCTTCAGTCTTTGTATCTGAAAAGTACAGATAATAGCAGAGCCACTTCCACTTCTTCCACTAAAAACCACATTAGATACTGTATATGAACATAAAACAATTGAGCACTATTAAATCTCTTGCTTAAAATAACACTGTCTACCTCCTTGATTATCTTGAGGATTAAATGAAATATTCCATGTAAAGCACATAACTTATAATGTGGAACGTGGTGAGGATTCAAATGTTAGCTGATGCCTTTATTACTAGCATTTGCATTATTTTGTAGAACCAGTATTGTTATGGCAATATTAGCTGAAATATTCCACCGCTCTTGTAAACATTTTTAGTAGTATTTTTATTTAAGCAATAGTTATTTTTGTCTGTTTACCTAACCTGTACTTAACTGCTGTTTAAAATGTAAGTTTGAGGTCAAATATGACCCATTAATTTTAGTCATCTACTTACACACGTAAATGGTGCTGGTTAATTTTCTCATATCCTCATTTTTAAGGAAATTGTTTTTTAATTTTAAATGGAGAGTACCAGTATCTTTTCAATGCATTGCTAAAGTGTTACTACACATTAAAATGACTGAGTCTATGTAATTTAAATGATCTTGCTGTATTTGATTTTCTTCATTGTAGAATCTATAGATAGCTTAGCAGCAGTTAGTCTTATTTCATGATGGGTCATTCAGGTTTACAGATTACCTAATTAGCCTCCTCATTTTTGCAGCTAAAGAAAAGAAGCACAGGCCAAGCGTGGTGGCTCACACCTGTAATCCCAGCCCTTTGGGAGGCCCAGGCAGATGGATCACCTTAGTTTGGAGTTCGAGACCAGCCTGGTCAATATGGTGAAACCTCGCCTCTGCTAAAAAAAAAATACAAAAAATTAGCCAGGCATGATAGCGGGTGCCTGTAATTCCAGCCACTTGGGAGGCAAAGGCAGGAGAATCATTTGAAACAGGAGGCAGAGGTTCCAGTGAGCTGAGATTGAGCCACTGTACTCCAGCCTGGGCAACGAGAGTGAAACTCTGTCTCAAAAACACAAGAAAAGAAGCACAGAGACGTTAATCTGATTTGCCCAAGGTCACACAGCAAGTTTTCTTTCCCCAAACAAATACCAAAGTTATTTGAAGAATAGCGTAAAGAAAACTTTAAAGAAATTCATTAAGAAGTTGTCAGAGTCTTTGCTTCTTTTAGAGCAGACTTGAATTTCTTCCAATGTTATTTTTCTAATGTATAGATCTTTTCTAGAAAATTATTATGCAATAATGGGTTTTTATTTCCTTTTAGTTGCCATTAGAATTTTATTTTAAACTGCTTGAATGTTAAAAATTATGTCAGGGTTGGTTTCAGGAGAACACACAATTTGCTTTATTTGGGAAGAACGTGTGGAGACATTGTTTTAGCAGGTGAGGCTTGAACTCTTCTAGTCTACTGCAAAATTATTTACAATACATTTGTGTCAAGACTCAAATAAGGAAAGTTACCCATCTGCAGACACAGAATACAGTAGTCTCACCTTATTCACAGTTTGACTTTCTGCAGTTTCAGTTATCTTGGTCAACTGAGGTCCAAAAATATCAGATGGAAAATTCCAGAAATGTACAGTTATAAGTGGTAGATTTTTCTATTTTGTTATTAGTTATTGTCGTTAATCTCTTACTGTGCCTAGCCTATAAATTGAACATTATAATAAGTATTTGTGTATGGGAAAAAACATAGTACAGTATATGTAGGGTTTGGTACTCTGCAGTTTCAAGCATCCATGGCGGGATCTTGGAACATACCCCTGCAGATATCAGGGACTGCTGTAGCTCCCTCACCCTCCGCCACTAAAAAAAAATACCTATTATAATTGTGGAGGGTTTAGGGTTTATTTTTTGTTATATCACATTCCCAGATCTTTTCCCATCATTTTGATCACCTATGCACACATATAGAGCATGAGGATTTATGTTTATAGTTGAAGTGGGTCATTTAGGCATTGCATGGATTGAATTTATTTTCTAGTCTTGTTTAACATCTCTACCATTTTTAAAAGCAGTACAAAAGAGAGAGTGTTAGAGGAGATGATGGTGTATGTAGATAGTCATGCAACAGGGCTTTCCACACATTTTATGTGTTAAGCTTTTCTTAACACGTTTTATGTTTGGAAAGGAATATATGGTACAGTGATAAAAAGGAGACGGTTATACATTCTAGTAAGCCAATTTTGTGGTAAAATTTTCATTGTTAGAAAACTTAAGGAAGATCATCTACATATCCGCCAGAAACGTGGACAAGTGTATCTTTGTATATCACCTAATAAAATGCATAGTCTGGTGATGTATCTGTGCAGCAAGTTGCCTCGTAGTTTTCTTTCTTTGTTACTTTGAGGTAGCAGGTCTGTATACCTCAGCTGAAATTCAAAGACCAGTGCAGTTGTGAGAATGCCTCCCGACCCCCAACTCCACCCAAACGCTTCTTCCCTCTTACTTTGCCATTCCTCCCTCCTCCAAGTGAAGAATTAAAGAGAAAGAGAGGTTAATGATAAGTGACCCAAACCTACCATAAGTAGTAGTGTTTGAACACTCTTAATCCTAGAAGAAGAGATGCATGCTTCACTGGAAAGCAATAGTTAGGTCTGTATGTTAAAAGAAAAGGAAAAAAAAGTTTAGGCTAAATCTGGTAAAACTTTTAATGATCCGGGATCAGAAGTGGAGGGAAAAGTCAAAAAGTTAATTGCTTTTTTTTTTTTTTAACCTGGAACTTGATGGAGCAAAAGTGTTAATGGTATCTTGTAGGACAGCTTTTCTAAACTTTATTTTTATTATAGCTCAAAGCAGAAAATATATTTTCACTGCAACCAGTACATACTACATTTCATGAAGAATATAGGCCTTTATTATATCGTGAATTTTTGACAAATTTTCTATTCTGATACACAATAGATACGCATTTAGTGTGTCTATTGTGACACACTAAATGGATTTCAGAACCTACTGAAATCATTCACAGTAGTTGAATGACACCACTTTAGGGATTATTTCTACTAAGTTGGTGATTTAAAAATCCAGCTTCTAATCATTGATGCAAATTTCTTTTTACATAATGGAAATGTCTCTTTACTGTGCAGTTTCATCATAAGCTTCACATTTTTGTTTGTTGAGGGGTAAAAATTGTGTAGCAAATATCATCTTGTTTATTGCAGCCGTTTTTTCTAGAGTGTTAGGAGAGAAGCATTTCTTTCATGCTGCTGTGATTTTTATTTTGTAAGCTAACCTCAGATGTATAGTTTGAGCTCTTACAAGTGCAAGTTAGTGTGTTCATAATTTCTTTTACCTGTCCATGTTTTGGTAATATATCTTTTTATAATTATTATTTTGTAAGCATAATTGCACTTTTGTGTTTTCAACTGCTCTATTATGCTTCTTAATTGTCAAAGTAAATCGTGTGGCCCTAAGAAGAATCAGGGGGAAAAAAAGGCATTGGAAAAAGTACAACGTCAATATACTTGTTTTGATGCAGGGAGCACCTCTTAAGACTTTATATTAAAAGAATGCACACAAGTGTATAGCTTGGTGAATTTTCACAAATAACACACTTATGTAACCAGCCTCTTATCCCTTTCCAGTGACATCCTGCACACCTCCACCTCTGCAGGGTGAATAGTATCCTAACAGCAAAGATTAGTTTGGCCTGTTCCTGTACTTTGTATAAGGGGAACCATGTGCTGGGTACTCCTTTGTGTCTGGCTGCTTTTGCTCAGATATTGCTTGTGAGATTTATTCATGTATATGATAGAAGACCTTTCACCATCATTAATGTATT